TCTTCAAGATGTGTGGTCCCTATCTGTATTCCACACGTAGGTGTGAATGCATGCCATGTGCCTGAGTCCAGAAGTTTTTTCTAACCAATGTCCACGACCCACACATGTGGTACGTTTCCTCATGCTTCCGACCGAGGATATAAGGGGTACTGCTGTGTAGGGTGGGTCACAATCATGGCTGCTAGTACACTGACCTTTCTGGCCAAAGTGATGGCAACCAGGAATGACATTTTCACAGAAATGTGGGTCATGGTACAGGTTACTATAGGTTCAAAGGTGGTCTCGTGAGGGCTGAGAGGACGAAATTAAGGTTCCACTGACGGGTGGTTTTGGTGACTGGCAAGAAGGTTTTGAGAAGGCCTTTCATAAATGGTACCATCATAGGGGTGTAAAAATGGAGCATCCATCCACAGGGGGAAGGAAGGCGCTAAATGCAGCAAGATGCACACAGATAGAGCTGAAAGCTAAACCTGATGTTGTCAGGTCAAGGAGGTAATCAGGATGCCAGTAATAGTCACAGTGTCTGGGGAATGGTGGGCAGCAGGCCCACTCCAAGAAGCGACGTCACTTTCCTTGATAGCACATTCTGGTGGATTTTTTTTGCTCTGGGAAAGGATCTGCTGGATCGGCACAGAACACAAATGGTCTATGTCAGATGCTCATCCCAACACCAGGCTGTGAGGTGAAGTATGCCTAAGTTAGGATGTTTGAGCTGCCTTGAATTGCATCAGAAGATCCTGGAATAATCAAGTCTGATCGGTGGATGGGTGGAGAGCTTCAGGAGATCTGTGAACCAGAACTGTCATGGTCAGCAGGGTGCTATGAGGATGATGGTGGCTGTGTCCCGATGCACCTTCCTGAGAACCTGATGCAAAAGGGAAATGGGGGATGGGGGTGAAAGGCATATCAGAGGTGGCCTATTCATAGGAGCAGAAGAGCATCACCTTGAGAGTCTTTGACTACCACGCCCCTGGAGCAATACAAGAGGAGATTGCGATTCACGTGATGAAAAAAAGTCCCAGCTGGGGGTACCCCACTATGTGAAGAGGTCAGTCAATAGTGTGTCATGGAGTGCCATTCATGATCCATGTGGAAACTCCTGCTCAGTCTGTTTGCCAGGGAATTCTGGGTGCATGGCAGATATGCAGTCTGTAAGGTCACTTGGTTTCAGATGCACCAATTCTATGGTCTGAGCAACTCCAAGCAGAGGAAATGAGACCTGATCCCTCCTTGCTTGTAAATGTAGACCATTGTGGCAATGTTATCTGAAAGAAGTTATATGCGGAGATCACAAAGGACGGGAAGAAAGGCTTTGCAGACAAAGTGGACTGTCCTAAGTTACAGGACATTTATGTGTAGCCTGGCTTCCCTTGGCGTCCACGTGGGCACCCCATTCCATAAAGGAAGCGTCCGTCACAATGGTGGCCTGCGGGCGGGGGGGGGGGGTGAAGGGGGTCCCGATCATGACCTTGGACGGATTGGACGAACAAACAAACAAGAGAGGTCCGAACATCCAAGAGAACGGTGACTCTGGAGTCTAAGTGGTTCCTGTTTGGCTTGCAGGTCAGGAAGAGCCCGGTTTGTAGGCATCGCAGGTGGAGTCTTGCAAAGGACATCACGTAGATACAAGCTGCTATATGCCCCAAAAGGGAGAGGCACTGGTGGACTGTCATGAGGGGTTTACAGCAGATGTGGATGATTTGGGTGCTCATAGCCACAAAGCGGTCTGTCGGGAGAAAGGCCCACAGAGCTACCAAGTCCATTCTCGCCCCTATAAAATTTATCGTCTGGGTACATGACAAAACAGGCTTATGTTCGTTTACACAGATTCCTAGTGTAACCAGGTATCTAGATGTGCCACAATGAGAATGCCACACTCAGGGCAGACTGGAAGCAATAGGGCAGACAATTCCCAAAACTGGTGGTTTATTGTATAATTAGATTCACCAAGCCAGTAATAAAAGAGCTGCTACAGTACCACACTGGTTAAAAAGACGACAAACACTGTCCCCTTTAGGCATTCCAGCCCTTGGTTCCCATCTAGACAACCAAGTCTAATAATAGTGAGGGTTACTGAAGCATGAGTTCAAGGACAGCAGAGATGCATCCTTTTGAGCACTGAAGAGATTGGCTTCAATGAAAGGGACGTCCTCGATGGTGTTTTGGACCTACTGCAGAAACCCTGAAGACTGAAGCCAGAAATCCCTGTGCATCACTGGTCTGGGGGCTACGGAACAGGAAACGGTGTCAGCTGCATCCACAGCTGCCTGGAGGGCCACCTTCGCCACCAGTGTACCCTTGTCAACTAGGGCCTGAAACTGGGCCTGGTCTTCCACAGGGAGCTTGTCCTTAAACTCTGCTAGCCTGCCATATGTGTTAAAGTTGTACTTAGCTAACAGAGCCTAGTAGTTTGCTATGCAGAATTGCAGACTTGCCAATGAAAAGGCCCTCCTGCCCAGGAGATCCAATCTTTTTGACCCCCTGTCTGGTGGAGTGGACTTTTGGGGGTGTTGATGGGATTGTTCTGTGGCTTCCTGGACAACTAATGAGTTAGGGGCCAGGTGGGTGAAGAGGAAGTCCACCACTTTAGCCAACACTAAGTAGCATCTCTCAGCTCTTTTGGGGGTTGGGGCACACAATGCTGGAGTGTCCCACACCGTTCAGATTGGTTCCAGGATAGCCTCATTTATAGGGAGAGCCACTGGAGTGGTCCCTGTGACTGGAGGATGTGTTGGGGGTCCTGGACTTCCTCCAGTGGGATATGTAAGTCAGTAGCCACTCTGCAGAAGTTTGTGATAATGCCGAGAATCATTCGACAGAGAGAGCGGCAAGAGGATGACTGTCTCAACCAGTGACAAGGAGGCTCTGGTCAGAACCGGCAGTACCATCTTCCTCCTCGTAAATTGATGGAGCCAGTTGCCTCGTGAAGAAAGAACGATAGGACCCTTGTGATGGTGCCTGCTACCTATAGTATGGGTCCCAGGGGTTCCAGTAGGGCCAGAACGTGGGATCCATCAGTTTGGGAGGGCCCCAGGGGAAGAGGTATCTGGGGAGGGGTCACAGCTGGGCAAGGAAGGGGTGCCTGAGGGGCGAGGGTGAAACTGGCTGGCCTACATCCTGGGACTCCTCCGAGTCAGATGACAGTTCCGACTGAAACAGCAGGACTGCTGGTACCAGAGGTCTCTGGTCCAACAAACAGGGAAGGGGCCTCTCCTGCAGCAGGAGCAGCAGTTCATACTCTGGTGTGGTAATGTCCCGGAGAATGGAAGGGCCTGAGAGGAGTGGGGATTGCGGGTACAGCAGAAACACCTCTGGAGACAAGAAAGTCTCCATACATCCCAGAGTCCATTGGGTTCCCATGGAGACTCTGGAGGGAGCTGTTCCCGTGGTCAGGCCTGGTCTGTCCCTATGGTGTCAAGGCGCCACCACCTGAGTATCTGAACCTGCGCTCACAGATAGACATTCTAATAGTCCCAGTACCAAGGTGACCAGCGATATCAACAGATCCCGATTCTTCTTAGCCTTATCCTCCAGCAGGGGAATCTTTAGCAGTGGTTCCATGGGACCTGTGCACAATATCTCACCCAACCTGGCACGGCATGGGGCGAGAACATGTCCCTCATGAGCAGTTTGCTGCGGGAATCTGCTCTTGTGCCCATGAGAGTGTTTCTTGCTCTGATGATGGGATCTCTCCTTACGTTTAGCGTTGGTGGTTCCACACCCTTGGCATATGCTCGGAGGGGCAGCGGGCTGTGGAGGCCGCTGTATAGGGGATCTCCCTGGCCAGGATCCAAGTGTGTCTGGGGGTCTAAATTAGCTGTTATCACTCAAGGAAGATCTTGGAATCATTGTGGACAGTTCTCTGAAAACATCTGCTCATTATGCAGTGGCAGTCAAAAACGCTAACAAAGTTAGGGAAGATAATAAGGCAGAAAATATGCTAATGCCACTACATAAATCCATGGAATGCTCACACCCTGAAAAGTGCCTGCAGTTCTGGGCACCCCATCTCGAAAAAAATATATTATACCTGGAAAAGCTACAGAAAAGGGTAATAAAAATGATTACGGGATCTGGAATGGCTTCCACATATGAGAAGAAATTAAAATAACTGGGACTATTCAGTTTAGACAAGAGACGACTAAGGAGGGATATGACAGAGGTCTATAAAATCATGAATGGTATGGAGAAAATGAATATGGATGGGTTGTTTCACATAACACAAGCACCAGCACCAGGGGTCACTCAAAGAAATTAATAGGCTTTAATTTCAGCAGGTTTCAGACCAGCAGGTTTAAAACAAACATAAAGAAGTGCTTTTTCACACACTGCACAGTCAATGTGTGGAACTCATTGCCAGGGGTGTTGTGTTGTGAAGGCCAAAAGTATAACTGGCGTAAAAAAAGAATTAGGTTAATTTATGGAGAATCGGTACATCAATGGCTATTAACCAAGATGGTGAGGGACACAATCCCATGCTCTGGGTGTCTCTAAAACTCCAACTGCCAGGAGCTGGGACTGGACAACAGGGGATAGATCACTCAAAAAATTGCCCTCTTCTGTTCATTCCCTCTGAAGCATCTGGCAGGCACTGGCTACTATCGGAAAACAGGATACTGGACTAGATGGACAATTGGTCTGATCCAGTATGGACACTCTTATTTCTGCTATGAAGTGTCAGGCCAACATCAGGAATGAAACTGAGTGGTATGTTACTCTTAAAAACGCTGTACAAACACAGTAGCATCCACTATTTAAAACTAACAAAAACCAAACACAATTACTTATTTTTATCTTCCACAGAAGGACAATAGATACTACACTATGGAAATGTCAGTTCTTAAATACACTGCATTCTAGCACATAATAGCTTTATGAAAGCTCTTTGAAGCACTGTCATCTACTCTATGTTTATATAGTGCCTAGCACAAAGGGTCCAACCTAGTTGGCCTCTGGTTGCTACTGAAATATAAATGTTAAGTAATAATAATAGTACTCACAAGCGAAGTGTTGACATGTCTATGAAGGTACACACTTCCTGAGTGCGTCAACGAGATCTCCTCTGCAATTTGTTTATCCGTGATCACTCCAAAGTGTATTGTTCCAAGGTAATCTGAAAGTGTAAATTTTCAGTTTTAATAAAATTTTGAAACACTGAAGGAGAAGGGTATGTTAATACTGTTATCTCCCTTTAAACAATAATGATTTTATTATAATAATACTTAACAACTATGTAGTGCTTTTCACCTGTAAATCTTCAAGTACTTTACTAAGGAGGGTAACTATCATTATCTCCATTGTACAGATAGGGAAACAGAGAGGCAGAAAGCTAACCTCATGTCACACAGCAAGACATGACAAAACAAGAAACAGGAGAGGTATATTGGCTTACTCCATTTGTTTATAGGAACAGAATGATCAGACACATAGATGAACATGATATGTTGGGGAAGAGTCAACATGGCTTTTGTAAAGGGAAATCATGCCTCACCAATCTATTAGAGTTCTTTGAAGGAGTCAGCAAGCATGTGGTTAAGGATGATCCAGTTGATAGTATATTTGGACTTTCAAAAAACCTTTGAAAAGGTCCCACACCAAAAGCTCTTAAGCAAAGTAGGTAGTCATGGAATAAGAGGAAAGATCCTGTCATTGATCAGTAACTGGTTAAATGACAGGAAACAAAGGGTAAGAATAAACAGTCAGTTTTCGCAATGGAGAGAGGATGCCCCTAAGAATCTGTATTGGGACCTGTGCTGTTCAACTTATTCATAAATTATCTGGAAAAGGGGGTGAACAGTGAAGTGGCAAAATCTGCAGATGATACAAAAATCACTCCAGATAGGTAAGTCCAAAACTGACTGTCAAGAGTTAGAAAGGGATCTCACAAAACTGGGTGACTGGGTAAGAAAATGGCAGATGAAATCCAATGTTGATAAATGCAAAGTAAAGCACATTGGAAAACATAATCTCAACTATACATACAAAATGATTCCCCCTAATAAATTTACACGTCTTAAATTTAAGTAAGCTTTCTGTTCATTCATGCAACATTTCTGAGAAAAATCTGTTACAATAAAATTAACATTCTGATTGTCTCACAAAGCCGATCAAAACTTCATCAGCCTGTGAATGCACTCATAGTACTATGTGGATGCCATGGAGATCCAGACGTAAGTGGGCACTATATTACCTGAGCCTCCTTCACTCATAGAGTCTAATTATCCTCTTCCTGAGTTTGAAATATTGAATAAAGGAATATAAATATAAAATAAAGGGATCAGCGATCCATTTAAATATAACTATTCTGCATCATTCTAAAATGACTACAAAGTAAGTGCTTAGCACCTATGCAGCCATATACCTTCTATACACCAAATTATCACTGTAAATTACATTGTATTATTACTGAAAGATGGGACAACAGAAAAGCCAGCTTAGCCTTCTGCAATCATATACGGGAAACATGTACTATCCTCATATCTCTAGTTGCCACATTTAGACACAAGCATTTAGGAGTTTACATGATTGTTACTTGACTTTTAACATTCAATAAAAACATTCTGCATTCTTCCACATCTGAAAAACACATGGCATCATGTTAAAATAACTATGCTTTATAAGAACGTGAAATAACAAAGGCCACCACCTTCAAAATGAGGACTGGAAAAACAAGGAATGGCCTTTGAACTGTATGGTTTTAATTTGTTCTCCATTTCACTTTTTATCTTTAACTGCAATGAAACCATGTTAGTGCACATGTGTAATTGAAAATGATCCGCTGAAACACAGGAACAGAAAACAAAATCAGCCATATTAAACGGCTTTTCTTCACTCTCCGAGAGCATTTGGAAGTATTTTGTATGTTACTATACTATATATTTTACTTTTTTATTTCATTTAATTTTTCACAGTGCCCATTAGAAGCAGCAGACATACTGTATATCAGAATACTGTTTGTTTCTAGCCAATTTTTGAAACTGGGAGTGGGCGGGAAAAAAAGGGAATTCTTTTAGGGAACTCAAAAATCACATATGATGCAGGGGAAAAATCCCTTAAATCAGTTTAGGATTTCACTTCTGCACTGACATCCAAATGTGAAACAGGGGTATATGCTGGAAAGTACCATTGAAAATTAATTCTTTAATCCTCCTCCGATAGATAAAAACAGGTGCTGGGTGTTGGAATAATATTTAAAAATAAGATACATAATTTGTTGAGTAATGTCAACGCTGAAGACTGTCATTCACCACTACATCTTTCCAACAATTACCCTCTCAGGCAGAGGCCTGAGAAGAGAGATGGGCCTGACTACAAAACTCTAGTGTAAACAGACTTTCACATATCAGTGAGGAAGCTCTGGATGACATTGAAGATTGGAGTGACAGAAGTGGGATGAAATAGTACAAGTGCAAGGTCATGCACTTAGTGTCTAATAAAAGAAAGCTACTCACCTTATAGTACTGACAAAAAGAAAAGGAGTACTAATGGCACCTTAGAGTCTAACCAATTTAGTCTCAAATAAATTGGTTAGTCTCTAAGGTGCCACTAGAACTCCTTTTCTTTTTGCGAATACAGACTAACACGGCTGTTACTCTGAAACTTATAGTACTGGAGGTTCTTTGAAATCTATAATCCTTATCTATATTCCACTGTGGGTATGCATATGCTCCATACACCTGGAGAATTTTGAAACCTGTGTCCATTGGTCTGCACATGGCTTACCTCGTGCCTCTGAACAAGGAGATAAAGGGTGGGGTGGACCAACCACCTCTCCAGTTCTTCTCTACTGTGAATCAGAGAAGATCCAAAGCAAAGGGGAAGGATGGTGGATACTGGAATACAGATACGGACCACACATCTCAAAGAACCTACAGTTACTATAAGGGAAGTAACTTTCTCTTCTTCAAGTGTTGGTCCCTCTATGTAGTCCACTGTGGGTAACTGACAAGTAGTACTCAAATAGGAGGAAGGTACAAGGCTGTAGATGGCAGAGCCAAACAAAGGACTGCTGTTCCAAAAGATGCATCAGCAGAGGAGTCCTGTACCAAGCCACAGTATCTAGCAAATGTGTGCACTGAGCTCCATGTAACTGCCTTACAAAGAGCAGTAGAGGCACCTCAAAGCAACGCCATACACATTGCTTACACTCATGCGGAATGAGCTCTTACCCCATGAAGAGGGGAAAGATTAAACAGCTGATAGCAGAACAAAATACAGCCCGAGATTCATTTTGAGATTCTGTGAGAGGATATTGCCTGACCCCTCACCCTTTCCACTGTGTCGACAAAATAGTCTAGGCCAGCAGTGGTTCTCAAACGGTGGGTCGGGACCCCAAAGTGGGTCAGGAACCCGTTTTATTGGGGTCACCAGAGCTGGTGTTAGAGTTGCTGGGGCCTGAGGCTGAAGCTGACACCTGAGCCGCACTGCCCAGGGCTGAAGCCCACGCCTGAGGGCTTGAGTCCTGAGTGGCGGGGCTCAGGTTACAAGCCTCCACCCCCTGCCCCTGCTCAGGGCGGGGGGTTCAGGCTTCAGTCCACCCTCCTGAGGTCGTGTAATAATTTTTGTTGTCAGAAAGTGGTCACAGTGCAATGAAGTTTGAGAACCCCTGGTCTAGGAGGTTTCCTGATTGTTTTCATTCTCTGCAGGTAAAAGGCTCACCAAACACTGAGGGAATAGAGCCTCCTTACTTCTGAGGATGCATGAAGTTTTGGGAAGAACACAGGCAAGTGGATAGACTGGTTCAGACAAAACTCAAACTATTTTAGGGGTGAATTTAGAATGTAAAGCTAATTAAACCTTTTCCGTATAGAATATAGTGTAAGAAGAATTTACCATCAACGCCCCAAGCTCACTAATCCACTTGGCTGAGGTGATGGCTACCAGGAATGCAACTTTCATGGATAGGAGAGCCATGGAGAAGAACCTAATGGTGCAAAAGGGGGCTTAGTGCGTACTGAGAGAACAAGGTTCAAGTCTCGTTGAGAAGTAGGCTTTTTTGTAGGAGGAAAGGTTCTGATTAGGCATTTCCAGAATCTGCTGGTCAGAAGGGGTGCGAAGATTGAGTAGCCCCGTGAAGGTGAATGGTATGTACTGACTGCTGCCAAGAAGGCTCGCAAGGAACTGAGAGACAAACCTTCTTTCAGGGAAAGAATATAGTCCAGAATGAAAGGAATATCTGTGGCTTCTGGAGAAATAAGTCTGAAGTGCCCAGACAGTGAAACACTTCCACTTGACTAGATATAATTTCCTACTGGAATCCTTCCTGCTGTTAGAAAGGATGTTTTGTACAGCTTCAGAACACGATTGCTCAAAGGATAGTGCCCATCCAAAAACCAGGCACTGAGATGAAGCAGACATGGCTTGAGATGTCTAATCTTGCTGTTCCCTGAGTCTGGAGATCAGGAAACGTAGAAATAATGATTGGTGCCTGAGGAAACATGCATAGGAGCTTCGGAAACCAAAACTGTCTGCACTGGGGGGGGGGGGCGAAGGGGGGGGGGAAATGAGAATAAGCTGTGCATTGTCCTGCACAATCTTGCACAAAACTTGAGGCAGAAGTGGTAGTGGAGAGAAGGCATTGTTCAGATGATCTGACCACGAGAGGAGCAGAGCATCATCCTTCCAGTGGTAACCCAGGGCTCCTCTGGAACAGTATATGTTACACTTCCACCAGAGACCTGTTGGCCTCCCAAGCAAACAGGGAGTCCCTCTTAGAGCTAAAGTGTTTACCACAGAGGTGAGAAGCTCCCAGTCGTGATCAAAGTGTCTGCTGAGAGAGTCCACTAGCACATTCTGGTTTCTTGGAAGGTACACTGCCAACAGGGTAAACTGATTGCTGACATACCAGTTGCACAGGCTGATTGCTTCTGAACACATGGGGGGCATATCTCTCGCCTCCTTGTTTGTTGATGTAAGAGACAGTCATAATATTGTCTGACATTATGAGGAACAGGAAAAAGGTTACGCAAGCTCTTTGAACTGCTTGTAGCTCCAGAACATTGATGTGCATTCTGCACTCTCGAGATGTCTAGATGCCATGCACTGCACAGTTGTCTATGTGAGCTCCACAACCCAAGACAGATGTATTGGAAACAACTGTCCTGTCTAGTGAGG